CCTCACTGATGTCTGACTCTGAAGGCAGCTAATAACTGGCATACAGCCCTGGCCCCCTCTCTGCTTCCGACACAGAGCCCTCCTCAGAGCCTCCCCCAGACTCCACGACTGGCCCATGTTACTCCCCAACCTCCTCTCTGTCCGACTGTTCTGCCAGCTTTCCTGGCAGGCCACAACGCATTGTTCATAATTCTCTTTGCAGAAGAGAAATTGGCATTAAATTATGAGAAATTGCACTGCTGTATCATAACTCTGGTCTGCGTTGAGAAATCCCACGTGGGAAGCTCGCCGAGTTTATTATTCCCTACCAGTGTCCTAGCAGCAAATTCCCACGTCTCTCACTTTCATCTCCAAGAGCTGAGAAAGACCAGGAGGGTAATATAAATCACCAGTGTCCGTGAAATGGATAATATTTCTCAGCAGGGATTGAGTCTTTAAGAGGCCTGGCTTGTGTTCTTAGTTGCGTTCAAACCACAAACGGAGGGTGTTATTTATATTTCTTAAAGGGCAGATGGCAGTTTCTTATCATTAACCCACTATTGTAGTAATTACTTCAGCAACACAATCTAACCTAAATGTGTATTAGTTTTGCTTTCTATAATCTAATATGCATTAATAGTGCAACAGGCTGGGCTTACTAATGACTACATTAATACGTACGATGTGCATATTATAGTTCGTAGCTTTATTTATATTGCATAATTTTCTCTAATGTGTTTTGGGTTGACAATCAAAATCCATAATGAATTAGCAAGTGAAGTGTCCTGGCGGGGAGAACGTTGTCTCTTTGGCTGCTTCTCATAAGCTGTCCAAAATTGTTGTTTGAAATTATTAATGTAACTTAAAGATCATCACCAGGCATTTTTTTTGAACCATTAAAACTTGTATGCTTGTATTTCAAGTGTGAAGTTGTTAAAGAAGTCAGATCACAGCTGGCTCCTTATTTGGGACGGGGGTGACTCCTAAAATAGACAGAGAGTGGAACTTAATGAAGAAAAGGTGATTTTGATCTGCTATGCATTATCGGAATAGAGCTGGAAGGGACCTTGGAGGTCTTCTAGTCCAACCCTCTGCTCAAGTAAGAAACCCTATATCATTTCAGACAGGTGGCTGTCCAGTCTCTTCTTAAAAACTCCAGTGATGGGACACCCAAACTTCTGAAGGCAACTTCTGTTCCATTGGTTGATTGTCCTCACCCTTAGGAAGTTTCTCCTTAGTTCTANGCCCTGTCTAGATTGAGTGGATGAAGTGATCTTTTAATCTGTTTTTATTCTCTCTATTTTAATTTTTTATTTTTGGAAATGTATTTCTGTAAGCCACCCGGAGTCCTTCGGGATTGGGCGGCCTATAAATTTATTAAATACCTAAATACATCAACTCTATGGAAGTTTATGAGGTCATTTGCTCCTGCGCTCAATTGTATTTTTGATTTTCAAAGAAAGATTATGGATATGGTGCACTTACTGTCAGTGAATAAATAGCAGGTTCGATGCTGTCAAAATCTCGTTCTAAAGGACAAAATTGTTGATATTTGGGGCAGTTCTTATTCCAATAAACAGGGGGCTTCAGAACAAATCCACAGCCTCCATTGGCTTCGAACATCGCGGCATTCAGATGCAGAGGAAGATCTATGGATACAGCATTCAAAATAGTATAAAATGACTACGCCATGATTTGAAAATAAAGCATATTTAAAACAGGCTGGAAAAATATTGCTGCAAAATTGCAACTGTAAAACAAGCCCATTAGTCTTGATTCCTTCCAATCTGATCGCTCATTTAACTAATATATACATTAAAAACAATAAAATTAAAATTAAACCAACAGATTTTATTAATCTATTTAGAAAGTATATACATTATACCAGTGTTTCTCAACCTTGGCAACTTGAAGATGTCCGGACTTCAACTCCCAGAATTCCCCAGCCAGCGTTCGTGAATGCTGGCTGGGGAATTCTGGGAGTTGAAGTCCAGACATCTTCAAGTTGCCAAGGTTGAGAAACACTGCATTATACATTTTTTTAATGGCCCCATAAAATTTATTACAAATCCATTCATAGGTTTATTTATTGAACAAAATATTATAACGTTTATAGAAGAATTCCTTCTTGGAGAAACAAAAATAACAAAAGCTAGTTTATGACCACTTTCTCAAAACTGGTATTTCTTCAAAATTTTAAATTGGTTTGAACCCGAGCATTAATTTGAAGAACCTGAGACTGTCATAAAATATACAATAGTGTAAGAAGTCTGGAAACTCAGTAAATATTTATATATGTCTGTAATAAACATTGTGATTTTTATTTTGTTATTTTAAAATCTCAAAAGCTCCCTTAAGGTTCAACCACCAAGCAGCATTTAACAAAAATTTTAAAAACACAAAATAAAAACAAGGCTAAGGATATAAATGAAAGGCTGATTTTAGAACGTGAACAGATTTGTGAAGATGAAAGCAATTATTGAAACAAATCTTTAAAAACCAATATCAATACTTCACCTTAAAAACGACCGGCTGAATTAGAAGAATTTATCTAGGAAGTGCTAATTCGCACTTGTGTGTTGCTTACACTAGGCTTATTACGAGTTTGCATGCAAAATTGCAAACTTCTTAATCAAAAGCCACTCCTAATACTCATTTCACAGGGAT